CGGTTATTTTCCTAACTTTAACAGGAGCAATGCCCTCAAGAATTTGAATGTCGGGCCACAAATTTCTCTGGTATGCTGCCTGCTTCTATGGGAAACCTTCATTCCTTAAATTTTTTGGACATCTCTCGCTGTCATTTTTACCCCCTTGTTCCATCTTCACTCGGAAACCTTACCCAGCTCAACCACCTTGACATGAATTCATTTTATGACGTTCCAAATAATAATTCCACAGGCCAAGTAGTTTCTGAATATTCCTTGTCTTGGATAGCGAATTTAACCAACCTCTACAGTTTGTCCCTTGGGGTCACCAAATTCAGGGGACAATTCCCAAGTTTTGTGGCTAACCTCACGCAGCTTTCATTTCTAGACTTGGGTGGTAACGAAATAACTGGTGAAATCCCGTCTTGGCTTATGAATTTGACCCAGTTAACTACTCTATACCTCGTGGAAAACAATTTGAGCGGAGCAATTCCTAGGTCACTCTTCCAGCTCAAAAATCTTGAATTTCTTGACCTTTCCTCTAATAGCTTGAGTGGACAAGTTGAGTTTGATCAGTTTTCCCAGCTCAAAAAGTTAAAGGACCTTCGATTATCATACAACAAGTTATCTCTGCAGATCATAACCAATTTGAGTGCTACTATTCCACAGCTTGAAGTTCTAGATTTGTCTTCATGCAACTTAACAGAGTTCCCAGAATTTTTAAAATATCAATCCAAATTGCGAGAGTTACATCTTATCAACAACAACATTCAAGGGCGAATACCAAAATGGGTGTGGAATGCAACTAGAGAAACTTTGTTGACTCTCAACCTCTTTTCCAACTTCTTAACTGGATTTGACCAAAATCCAATCAATCTTCCATGGCAGAATCTATATGATTTAGATCTCGGGACCAATATGTTACAAGGATCACTGCCAATTCCACCACAATCAATCAGAAACTATAAGGTCAACAACAATCATTACAGTGGAGAAATTTCGCCCTCGTTCTGCAACTTGAATCATTTGCAGATTCTTGATTTGTCCAACAACAGCCTGAGTGGCATGCTTCCACAATGTTTGGGGAACTCCAGTGCTCTTGGGATATTGAAGCTGACGAACAATTCTTTTCATGGCGGTATTCCTCAAATGTGTCCAGATGACAATAGTTTGAAAATGGTTGATATAAGTTACAATCAGTTACAGGGGAAGATACCAAGATCAATGGCCAATTGCACTCAATTAGAGTTTCTTAATCTTGAAAACAATCAGATAAGCGACATCTTCCCATCTTGGTTCGGAGCACTTCCAGCATTAAGGGCTCTCATTTTGAGGTCCAATCGATTTCATGGCATGATTAGGAAGTCTGCAACTAACCAAGACTTCCCAAAGTTGTGCATCATTGATTTATCTAACAACGGTTTTTCAGGTATGTTACCCTCTAACTACTTAGAGAACTGGAATTCCATGAAATTTGTTGACAAGAACCTGCGACCTTATTTTGAAGTCCTTCCGAAGTTAGACAGCTCAGCTAAATATCGCTATATTTATCCATACTCGATCACAATTTTGGCAAAAGGTGTTGAGTTGAAATTTTTAAGGACCCCTTATCTTCTTAGATTTATAGATTTCTCAAGTAACAGATTTGAAGGAGAGATTCCAGCAGGTGTCATTGGGAATCTAAGAGGCCTTATTTTGCTTAACCTCTCCAACAACGCTCTCACTGGTCTCATCCCATCATCTTTATGGAACTTGACGGCTCTTGAATCGTTGGATCTCTCCCAAAACCAGCTCTCAGGAAGGATCCCCGGTAACTTGCCACAACTCACTTTACTCGCATATTTCAATTTATCATATCAGCATCTGTGTCCTATACCACTTGGCCAACAATTTGGTACATTCCTAGAAGATTCATACCAAGGAAACTCAGGTCTGTGTGGAAAGCCATTGTCGAAGCAGTGTGATAGCTCAATATCGCCACCACCATCAATCTTTGAAGAAGATGAAGATCCCGGGTTTCAAATTGCACTAGATTGGTATGTGGTTCTGCCAGGAGTTGTTAGTGGTCTAATAGTTGGAGTGGTTGCTGGGAACTTCTGGGCAAGCAAGAATCATGAATGGTTTTTAGAAAAATTTAACAGGAAGAGGCAGCCAAGAGGCACACGGGGGAGGAGAGGACACAGAAACTAAGTAGTTATTTTAAATCCATGTTTATCTTGCAGCTGCTGCTGTTGTTGCTTTGAATTCTTGTATGGTGTAATGTAAGCTAAATTCGAATTCAAAAATAAAGTTAGTAAACTGTTGTTTTGTTAAAGTTGTATTTCATTATGTTGTGTAAAAGTTTGTGAAATATCAATCTGTTTGATCCCTTTCTTTTTTGATTTGTTGGGGCATGCGTGTTCTCGGGGTTTTTGTTTGTAGTTTTTTGCTTCTTCTATGAAAAAAAAATAAAAAAAAGATCTGCACACTTAAATGATAATTTAAATGTGGAGATTGAATCATGACATAGGGGAGAGTTGATTTCCAATACCAAAAAGCACGAGGAGACGAAGAGATAGAATAACAATGGTTGATATCTTCAAAACAAGAGTAAATGGCAAAGAAGTTAAAAGCATGGAAACGGGGAGAGAGAGAGAGAGAGAGAGAGAGAGAGAGGTTTTTTACAGGAAAACGACACGAGAGGAATGAGAGGGAATTTTTAATTCAAATTTAATTTGAAATAGGTCAATGGGGTAAAATAGGAATTTTAAAATTTAAGAAGCGTGTTAAACACAATATTTTTTTTCTTCTGGTACCAAGCGTGTCGAACACTACAATGCGAATAATTTTGGTTATTTAAATTTCTGCCTCAGATCAAGTAATCAATAATTTGATTTCGGCCCATTTTTTATTCTTTTGGGGTCAATAATCATAATTTCTCATTTTCCTTGGTCTGAAAAATCACAAATTTAATTTTTTTTTTCTCCCACTAAATCAAAGTTTACCTCCAAAACCAAAAGTTTGTGATTTCCCTCCAAATCTTTCAAACTCAAAACGCTCCATGTCTCTCCATCTTTCTCTCCTCTCACTATTTATTCTGATCATGAGAGCACTTTCCTTCCTACCTCTCTTCTTCCCTCCCAAAATTTTAAATCCCTTCTCTTTCTGTAACCCTAACTCCATGGCTTCTTTCAAGCCCTCAATTCCCTTGACCAGCGATTCTGCTGCCTCTGTCCCTTCCACCCGCACCTCTGGTGAGGTGCATGTTATCATGGGCCCCATGTTCGCCGGCAAAACCACCGCCCTCCTTCGTCGGATCAAGTCCGAGGGCAACAATGGCAGGTAAATTTCGAATTTTTATGTCTAATCCAAGGTGAATTTGTGGGGATATTGAATAAAGATTGAAGCTTTGGTCCAGGGCAGGTGGATTGATTCTGAATTTTCATTTAATTTTGACGAAGATGAGAAATTTATAGTTTGTTGTTTGTATATTATGTGTAGAAATGTGGCAATGATAAAATCCAGTAAGGATACGAGATATGCTATCGATTCGGTTGTGACGCATGATGGGGCAAAGTTTCCGTGCTGGGCGCTGCCCGATCTGTCATCCTTTAGGCAAAATTTTGGAGGAGAGGCTTATGAGAAGGTAATTTTGGAGCTGTGAAATGCACAACCTTTGTTGGGTTTTTATCAAACTTTCTTTTTCTTTTTTCTAATTATATATGACTGAGTGATGTTTATCTATTTGATTTTGACCTTGATTCCTGTAAAATATGTTGTGATATGCTAAAAACATTTTGACGATTTGTTATGAGGAGGTACAGTTGTGTTAGTTATGTACAATTTGATGATCTGTAAAACATGTTGTGATATGCTAAACCTATCTGAGTTTTGAAGGTTGCTCTGTAAGATATGGCAAATCATGAGAAGTGGGTTGACTTAAATTAAAGGAATTATTTCATTGACATAGAATGACTTAACTGAAATGAAAGAGTTGGAATTTGTTGTGATGGTTAGCATAGGCCAATGACCTAAGGTCATGGTTAGTGTCTGTGATTTGATACATATGATGTATTCTAATTCCCTTCTCCTTGTTGGGATATGTTGGCAGCTTGATGTCATCGGTATTGATGAGGCTCAGTTTTTCGAGGATCTTTATGATTTCTGCTGCATGGCTGCTGATCATGATGGAAAAACTATTATTGTTGCAGGCCTGGATGGTGATTACTTGAGGTGCCTTTCAAATAAACTTTCTAATTTTTTTAGGGGTCTTCTTGCCTGGCAGTTATGCTTGTGTTATTAGTTGCTTTAGTTGGTTTTTGTTTCTCTCTCATTGATGAATGTATGATTATTATTCGCAGGAGGAGCTTTGGCTCAGTGCTTGAAATAATACCTCTGGCTGATACTGTGACCAAGTTGACAGCTCGATGTGAACTGTGTGGCAAACGAGCTTTCTTTACCCTGAGGAAGACAGAAGAGACACGAACTGAACTGATTGCTGGGGCTGATGTCTACATGCCTGTCTGTCGCCAACACTATGTCAATGGACAAGTTCTCATGAAAGCTGCAAGAACTGTTGTGGAGTCTCATAAATTTAAGAGTGACACCTTTCCTGAAGTAGCTGCAGTTGTTTAGTAACAATAGTATATCTTTAGTATATCTTTCACAGCCTATTATGTCTTTGGGTTTGCTATTTATTGTAATCAGGAAATGATTCAGCTTATTGCCTGCTTTTGTAATCTAAACATGGGCGATTTGGACCTAACTTGGAGTGTACTTTGTTGCATCTCTTTTCATTATGTTAATAGACTGAAGTTTGCTTTACAAAACTGCCTCTCTAGGTGTAAGTATCTATCAAAATTTTAACAAGAAATTGTGTTATTTCTTAAAAATTCCAATTTCTCTTTCTTGTGGGATCAATTTGTTAGCCTCCTTAAATTTTTCATTTGCTACTTGTTGAATATATGAACATGTAATTCTATGTGCTCATGGCTGCAAGAATGCACAAAAGCATTAAATTATTCATATATTGATGCCCTGGTTGTATGTGAATGAGCAAACCACTTTTTTTCCGGGAAAATTTCACAATAGCAATTATTCTCGCCTTGTATATGATCATTACTGGTTCTGATTTTCATACATCTTTTGCTGATGAGTGTTCTGCTGCATTGGCTTGGGCCATGGGCTGGGCCCACCTGGCTTTCTCTTTGGTTTTCTACTTCCAAACAAGGAAATCCGGCGGAAGACCTTCAATAATCGACTGGCATATTTTCTTTGTGAGGCGAAGTTCACAGAACCAATGCAACTTGTCACTTGTCCAAGAGGGTTACTCTTTTTGCTCATTGATCTACTTTCCTTACCATACGATTTCATGCTATGTGCTGTGGTTGAAATTGCCTCTTTTTTCTTTGAAATGCTCTGCCATTGAAGGCTTCGCTTCAAGGACATGAGCTCTTGTTCAAGGTTCTGAATTCTGAAGCTTGTTGACTCGTATTCCTTCCTTGATAACTCAGGTCTCTGATTTACATTGTCCTTTTGTAGCAAGAAGCTCAAGGGTCTGCTGCCTTGCTCTGCTCCATCTACATATGGACTATCTCCTAGATTCTGGCTTTTGGAGTTTGGGCATCTGGAGCTTGAGAGGCTCCCAGAAAACTCTCCACAGTGTACATATCTGAATGAATCTGAGCATTCTTTGAAAGCTTGGTGAGTGCTGATTTGCTGGACAAAAAGTGCCTGGACTATTAAACGTAGCGGCATCAATTCATTTTGAACAGCCTCAATGCATGCCTCTTGTGATAGTTTTTGGCAGTTGAGGTACTTGCAGACTGCCCACTTCTCTTCTTGGGATATATTTGGGTTTGCCTGAAGAACGTAAGATATGTTGGTATGAGAACTGACATCTCTGTTGACCAATTTGTTTGGCTTTTAATTCATGTTAGATTGTTTGAGTTGAAAATGTCTTTTTATTACATATTAACATATCATTTTAAAAAAAAAAAAAATTCTGCTAGGAATTAAGTGGAGGCTATAGAATCACATTTTTGGCAGTGTGTAGATTTGATCATAAAGTACTTACCTGTAGGAAGGTGTTCATTGCTCTGTAGAGTTTGTCATGACTCTGTCTGTAGGATATCGGCACTCTTTCGATGAGTTCCATGAATCTTTTAGGCTCCATATTTGGATCAGGAGCTATGTAGGAAAGATATGCATCCCACAATTCTGCAACAATAATTGAATGGCCTGCTGAAAGACTGTGGTCTGACTCCAAGTTAGATGATACATATGTTGAAATTATGCTCTCCATTGTAGCCAGCTCCATGCTAGAAGAAATTGACTCAGTTTCAGATTTTGGAAAGAGGAAGTCTTCTAGTTGGGCAAAGTGCAACAGATATACAATCTTCTCTTGCAACTTTGCCCTGCTATCGATTCTCAAACCTACTTCAAGGGATCGAGAAAGGATTGCAAAGTAAAATCCGACTGGAATTGATCGACTAGCCTTCTCTCCCATGGGCAGCAAATCAAGAACACCTTGTAGGATGACTGAAACTTTGTGATCATCCCCAGTTTTCTGACCAGAGTTCTCCCAAAATTGGAGGGTCTTCTTTGAGAGCACCCATTTATTAGCATAGAAAACAATGATGGGGCTTAAATATTTTTCTTTCATACCTTGTCTTCTCAAGGACCCTATAATCCTTTTAAAGAATCCAAATGGTAGAGCAATCAGATCCTTGATCCAAAGGTCATGACTCATAATCTCCCTCCCTATCTCACAGCTCCAATTTCGGGTGCTCAATGCCTCCAATGTGAGCACCGGGGTGTCACGTCTTCTCTCTGGATCAAGGATCTCCATGCAAGCCATGAAGGCAAGGCATTCGATGCAGCGGCTCACAATGAGCAAATCTTCGGACCATGGAAGCAAAGTTTGGCACTTTTGGAGTACTATTAGAGTGTCATCCCAACTCTGCATGACCACTTGGTTTAAGTAGAGATCAAAGCGCTCACAGAGGTTGCCAGAGCAGTAATCTTCTGTCATCTCAAGAAACTCTGCTGCACATCTCAGGGCTACAACATTGAATGGATCAATCAATGTGGAGGAGCCATAGATGAACAATGCAATCATCTCAAATGTCTCCGGCCCTCCAGGGAAGTCTGGTGGCAGCTCTAGCTCAGTTGATTCATTCAGTCTTTTCTTGAAATACCCACTCTTTGAAAATAGTGGAAACTGAAGAAGAAAAAAAATCAGTTAAGTGTAAACATTAGGCCAACATTGGACAGTTACTTTCTTGAAAAGAAAAAAAAAAGGGTTGTAAGATTCAATCTCTGACCTTGTGGAGGTTGAAGATCTTCCCGAGAACTCGAACGCTAACGGAAACAGGCAAACCGGTCTCTTGGGTCCTGAGACAAAGATTCAAACCTCAGAAACTCAAACAAGAGAGCTTAAAGTCAATGCTGCAAGTTGCTAACAAATGTAAATGAAATGACAGAGCCATGAACCAACAATCTTACTTACCATGACAAAATCTTAATCTTGAGCAAGGCTCCAACGTTCGGTGAAGAGAAAGGACTTGACGAAACAGAACTACCTTTTAATGGGCTTGCAGCTTCCATTGGCAGAGCTCATAAGATTATCTCAGACTGAGATTTACTGAAAGTGAAACTTTGAGAAAGCAATGGCAGTCGATTTTTCTCAAAGCATAGACATGTGCTTTATAACATAATGCTTTTTGCCTGCCCAATTGCCATAAAATGCTCGGAAGTTTGTCTCAATATTCAAAGAAAATTAAAATAGAGTATAGTATACAACTATACACACAAGGCTTCTAGAATTGGCAAACCAGTGGAATCACATAGAAGAATGATTGAATTAAAAGATGTGGTTTTTAAAATTTTAATCAAGACATTGTGTAACACACACATTCGTGCAGCTATTTTCTTTTTCTAGTCAAAGTCAAATGCACACGAGTGAAACCCTCTCAATGTCCAAGTTTTAAGGCTTCAAAAACGTTCTCGAGTGCTGAGCAGTTGAATTCTTGGTGCTACCAGTCACTAGAATATGGTAATTCTCCACTCCTTTCCATGTTTAGGCTTGCACAACAAGTTTTGTGTCTATGCATGTATGTGACCCAAACTAGCACACCATCAAATTGAATGCAAATCCTAACCGTCCAATTGGACTTTCCTTTGGTACCGATTAATTAGATCAGATCATTCATTTTCTCAACATCTTGGCTTAGCTTCTCCCCGTCGCGAGTTCAAATTTCACGAACGACAGTTGTTGATCATAAAGGTAAAAGAAAAAAAAGACCACACAATATATGAGGAAGGCCATGTACCCATGAAAACTCTAGTTAGAAGAGGTGGGATGAGAAGTCATGGAGATTTGCAAAGGATGTGTTGGGAAATTGAAAAGGGAAGAATGAGGCAATGTAAATTGGTAAACTAGTTGAGAGGAAATGATTAAAATATGATAAAGGAAGATGATGAAGTGCGGGCGAAGCTTTGTGTTTACGTATTATGTAGCATAACAAACACCCAAGACGGCACGGCTTCTGATTGTTGTCAATATTCTGGTGCTTTGGATGCTTTCTCCCAACAACCCCCAATCCCCAAAATTACTTTTACTTTGTATTTCCATGCAACTTTATACTTCATTATATTATATATAGTATATCTGTGTGTGTATATAATACTAAATACATAACATGTTAGACAGTCAATCTGACCGTCCAATAGGTAAATTCATGTTTGAGTGTGCGGTCCTGATTACAATTGCGTGTATACAATTGTCGTCTAAACAAATATCTTATAGCATAGAGGAAGACAGCAAATTGTCATGGACTGAACTGAAGTACCAGCTAAGCTATGATCCTTTCTGCTCAAGCAATACATTCCCTTAAAAGCTGCGGATAAATATAATGGTTTTTTTAATCTGTCAAGGGATCGCTGTAATATTATTCTCAATGAGAAACTTTTATGTTTTTATTTTCATGAGATGCAAATTCTATGTGAAAACTCCGAAAATCTCAGGGTGTTAGTGTAAATAACTATGGGAAGAAAGGTAGGTGCACACTCCACTGATTTTATTTTACCAGTATGAGAGAGAGAGAGAGAGAGAGAGAGAGAGAGAGAGAACTATTGCTAAAGCAGTCTCATTGAATTTTTCATAATATTCTCAAAATATTTTTGTTTTTAATACAAATTCAACTACACAGCATTACCAATATCTCTATTACTAGAATCTACATTACAGATGTCACAGAGAGAGAGAGAGAGAGAGAGAGAGAGAGAGAGTCTATAGGTATATACTTGAACAGAAACACCATGGATCAGTTGTGATGGTTCAGAAATGAGAGCCAAACCCCTAGATCATCATCAAATGAGGTCTCTAAAAGATCATTAATGTCGAAAAGCCATCAGAGGATTAGTTCAATCTCTTCAATATTGGATTTGGGTTCAGACAAGAAAGGGTCCTTGAGAAGATCAGAGGCACTAGGTCTTGCCCTTGGTTGGGCTATGGATTTCTCAATGAACGCCTTCACCTCTGGATCAGTCACCTTGTTCAAGCCTTCAGGCTTAATACCGGCCGTGACCTTCTTGTATATCTTGGCAACAGAGTCACATTCACTGTATGGTATCTCCATTGTCACCATCTCCAGCAAGCACATCCCAAAGGAGTATATGTCCACCATCTCTGTATAGTCCTCCTCGTATAGCTCAGGTGCCATATACTCAGGTGTCCCTAAAATCGAATGTGCTTCATGGTTCTTACCAACTATTGCTGCAAATCCCAGATCACCAATTTTCACCTATAAATCAAATGCATAATGGTTCAGGCAGGGCCAGAAACTTATGAAAAGGTTCATGAAAAAAGGATAGACCTGAATTAGGATATTGGATTTGCATTCCTATAATATTAATTAGGAAATTGTACATGAAGTGGGGATATAAATTCTAAATTTTGTAGTTCACACCAGATATTCAACTCTTCAATCAAAACATGCAAGGCTCTTTTGGGGTTCAGAAAAATGGATGTACCCCAAAATCACTAAGGACTATATGATGATGCAGAGTAGAATGTAAATATAGAAATGCTGCAACATCACAAGAATAGGATGGAAAAGTCTGTTTAGTGGAAACATAGAGAAATCCAACCTCATCTTACTGGCATGCGCTACTCAGATTGATTTTCCATCTGAACAAAATAGGCCTAAATAATTACCCCAAAACCCTCATCTAACTTATCACTTCGTGTTCTTCAAGTTTACATGAAAACACTATCAAAGATTTGGATTGCATGACCCTAAAAATAAATTGCCTATTGTTAGCTATATATATTAACTCCGATTTGGGAATAGCAGAGCAATTTCATTAGTCCAAACAGATTATAAAATTCATACTGACGAAAAAGAGAGCGACCCAATTTATGCTCACAGAAATCAGGAGAAACAAGTTGATCCAACGTACGAGTTATAATTACCTGGCCAGTGTTCCCATTGATGAAGATGTTGCTGCAATTGAGATCTCTGTGAATGATGCATGGCTCATGTGTATGGAGGTATTCCAATCCCTCAAGCACCTGTCTTGACCACTTCTTCAAAGCCCTAATAGACACATGGCGATGCTTCTTCCTGTATTGCCTCAGGTTTCCAGATGTGCACACCTCAGTGATGAAATTCAAAGTGTTGTGCGCCTCATCCTTCCAAACACTGTAACAAACAATGATATACTTGTTCTTCAATGTGCTCAATAGCTTAACCTCTGAGTAAAGCCGGTTTATGAGAGTTGGATCTTCACTGAAAGTCCTCAAGCGGACCTGATTCCAGGCCACCTCTGTACCTTCCTCCTGATCAAAAGCCCTATAAACCTTCTTCACAGCACCATGACCAAGGAGATCATCATACCGCCCAAACCGCCCAGTTGGATCAACCTCCACAAATGGCTCAGTATCTCGATCAGACGTGTTTGAGTTCTCGATTGGCATCTTCAAAGATCAATCTGATGAGGTAAAGAACCAGTTAAAGCTCTAAATAGCTATACCCTTCACAAGGGACTTCAAAGACAATTCACCCAAATGATCCAAACAGAAACAGAATAGAACACTAGTCCTACTGCTGTGATGCATGAGAACTAATTAACTCTAAATTTTCCAGCAAATGAGTAACAAATAAAATAATAATAAAATAAAAAAAGATCTGAATGAAGAAATGCAAATGCCACCCGACGCGTTCCACAGAGAAAATTAATTTCTGATTATTATTATCACAACTTGAGTTTCAGCAGCAAAACTGAAGAAGGAATTTTAACCATCACTCTCTACACAGATACACAGGGTCATACAACTATACTGCAAAATCATCAACAGGTAATCAGAAAATTAAGCCAAAAAAGAACAGTTAGAAATTGTAAGGCGAAGTAAGAAGGCTCAACTGAATTTCAATAGTAAGGTAAAGAAAGATAGCTCCAACTGAATCTTGATTCTTTCTAATTACAGAACTACGTTTTCAGTTACATAATTTCAATCTCATTCATGCACAATTATACATGCAGAAACAAACGGAGATAAACTATCAGAACACAAATCAAGCACACAGTAAAACAGAAAACAAAATCACAAAATCACTACAAAAAAAAAATAAAAAAATAAAAAGAAGTCTGATTACTACAAAATTAAGCACCGCGTAAAGAAACAAGTTTCTGAGGGTTACATAACCAAATTACACACTTGTGTGCGTGCGTATGTGTATGTATGAATGTAAACTGCCAAGAAACGCAGAGTTTTGAGAACTACATACCAAATCAGTGAAGAAAATCAGAGCGAAAGAAGGAGAAGAAAGGCTGAAATTGAAGCGCTAATCATGTTGAAGATGATTTTAAATCCAATTCTTAGAAAGATCGTCAGAAACTGCAAGTGCTAAATGTATCAAATAGATTCTTATGCACGCTAAGCAACGATTACAGCTCTCAATTTCTCATACATACATACATACATGCATGCATACATACATACTACCTGCACTTCAAGAAAGAGAGAAAAGAGAGAGAGAGAGAGAGAGAGAGAGAGAGAGAGAGTACCTTGAGATTCTTTGGTAAACGCGAATAACAGGGAAGCTCTGCGAAGCGAAGAGAGAGAGTGAGAGAAAATGGTGGTAAAGGGACGGCTCTATTTATAACTGCATTGAAGCGGGATCAGTTTCTACTAACGACGTCGTTTCGTAGATCGAATAACGACTTCAGCTTCGCTTTTCTCAGCTGTTTTTTCTGGTCAAGTTTCTCAGCTGTTCGTATCGAGAATATAAAGAAGGTTACGCTGTTAGGGATTTTATTCTTTCTTTTTCTTTTATCTTTGTTTATTTATGTATTATTTTGGTTGCTTTTCAATTATGAGAAGAAAAATTCTTTCCAAATTTCGATAAAAACTCCTACATTCCTACCAATAACAATTTCACATGTGCGTAAATGTTTTTCCTTTTAAGTTTTTTATAAATTATTTTTATACATATGTCAAAATTTGATTCGCAGGAAGAGGAAATATCTCATTACACCCTGTCAAACAAGTATTCAATTTGGTCAATTAGCAAATAATGTTCAAATTTGTTAAACATTTTGGTAATTTTTTTGGCATTATTGTGCAGACATAGAAGAATCTGTTCGCATGT